TTTTTTTTTTTTTTTTTTTTTTTTTTTTTTTTTTTTTTTTTTTTTTTTTTTTTTTTTTTTTTTTTTTTTTATTGGTGTAGGATGATAATGGGGGATGTGGAGTAAGATCGAAGCAACCACGGAAGGGCCAAATTGAAAATAGGGTATAACTAACTACCACGGCGCGTTAAGTGTCGGGTTTGGGAACAAACACGTGAGCTAACGAAAACCAAGAGGATGGCGGTGGGGGATTTAACGCTCACCTGATGCATACGGCAAGCAAACAAACTAACTTCATTAGCAAACGGTGCGATTCCGTCAGTCAATGCCTCCGTTAGTCTTAACCCCAAGGGAATCTTCAAAGTTTTCCATCTTTTGGCCTTTTATTATTCATATTGGTTTGAAGATTTGATAACTTCACCCTACAAATCACCGGAAACTATGTGCTGCTTTGGTTCAAGGTTGACACGTAATTTAAGAACAAAAGACACTGCGCTGGCCGCCTTTATTGTTTGAATCTGCCATTGGCCAGACCCCTCTTGTCTCATCCCTGAAAATTCTAATTTTTGTACACAATCCCAAAATTTTAAATTAAATTAACAAATATAAATTCTTTTTGGTTCATTGAGAGCTGGAAAATTGGCTAGTTCTAGTATGGTGGTGGATAAATTACTAATTGTTTTAAATATCCATAATTTAATCTTCATCTCTATAATTATTGAATTAAAAAGGTCTTTCACAATAAAGTAATGACAGATATTTTTATGTTGGCAAATAAAATAGTTGCTATTTCATTTGTTTAATTTTTTTAAAATATAGATTTAATTAAGAACGTCCAAACCAGATATTTTTACACTAACCAAATTAATTAAATACATAATTATATAATGAGTATAAGATTTTGTACTGCTATAATATATACATTAAATAGTTATATATATATATATATATATGATATTGTTGGATATGTGTCCCATGTAGTTTGGATAAGATAGGACACTGAAAATTAAAAAGTCTATGTGTCCCCCAAAAACCCAAGTAGTTGGCCTTCAAAACCCTTTAAAATAATATTTTTTTTTTTCTGCATAAATTGATTTGTGGGACCCATAAATACCTTCCTAACGATTTAACGAACAGTATTATGTAGTAGCTAAAGTCAACTCAACTTAATTTATTAGCGACCATTCAATTTTAAAATAATTATTTAAAAGTAGATTAAAATTATAGTTTTTACGAAAAAAAATTAATGGATAAAAGAGTTCGTATTTACGCTCCCATTTTTCAAGATAATTAGATTTAAAAATGAAATTAGTATATTCACAAATATCTTGCTACAATAATAATAAAATATGTTTGTATGTAAAATATATTTATCATACTAAAATACGGATGATAGTTAAATTAAATAATAACTTTTATAATCATTAAAATTTTAAAATATAGTTGGTTTTTATATTTTGTATTTTGTATTTTGCATATGATATTGTTTTATTATTTATTCAATTTATTTCAATGAATTTAATTTTACAAAATATAATAATAATAATTATAATGATTAAGTGACAGATGATGGAAGGAAACATTTCAACGAAGGAATCAATGCATCCTTTCACTTTTCCGAAGGCAGAGAATCTCTGTCATTCAGCAAAATTTCTACTCATAATTTATTTGAAGGAATAAATTCCTTTAAAACTAATTCATAATAATTATTATTAAAAGTAATTCATACTAATTATTATTTAAAATATACGTTTGTAAAGCATTTGAATTTAATTTTTAAATTTAAAAGCTTAATACACATATAAACTAAAAAAATAATGAACTTATTATGAAGGTTATAATGTTTTTTTTTATAACATTAAAAACTTAAAAACATATTAGTCACTTAATCACGTACCACTTAGAGATTATTGGGAATAGTTTCTACTCTTATGAAACTCCGATTACTCCTTAATTAGTACGGGTGGACTCTATTAAGACTGATAGCGCTTTTTCCTAGCGTCAACAATTTGTTAATTATATTATTCAACTGTTTCCTCAGACAAGCAGCTTCTTATCATTCTTTGATGAGATACAGCCATATGGGAGGCCAGGCGTTGTGAAATTGCACATCGAGTACTCCGCATTCCCGCTCAGTAAAGTACTCTCTTATTTTCTTAGTGGAAATATGCTCGAAGGCATTCCTATTGAATACCCCGCATTCAAGTGATACCCAACTTCACTCTGCAGTTCCTTTGCCTAAGAAACACTTTTCTACCATTATAGCCTCGGAGACTCAAAGTCAAGTTCATGTCACCAGCTGCTCAATTCTATTAATTTTATCAAAACTAAGACCAATAAAGGAAACAAAAAAAAAATGGAGAGAAAAAGAGATGATGATAAAGGAGAGATTATTTATTCCCATTGTTACAAGAATTTCTAAATCTAGAAAATTAAGTGCAGGTTAACCAAGTTAAAGACACAATAAGCAGACAAGAATAACTTAACACACCTTGTAAAATGCAGACAATCCATGAACATGGGAAGCAGATGAAAGTTGTGTCCTCAGGAAGAAGAGAAGAGAAGCACCAGACAAGCAGATGACGAAGATCTCGGCGACTAGAGTGTTCATATTTCACACAAGTAACAACATCTGTCTATGCTAATAAACATAAGGCAGTATTCTCCAAGGGACGAGTTTGGTATACTCCGCCCAAATGTCTTTATATTTCTCAGCGCATCGAGCTTCATCCCGTCTTTCTCTCCATATTAGCAGAAGGAGGAGATATGTGGGATAAAAGTATGGAATTGGGGAGCTGCAAAAATGACGGGATTATCAGATTTCTTCTTCTTTCTTTTCTTATGGCTACAAAGAAAGAGGAACCAATCAATTACCTTATCCCACATGGTAAGCTGAAAGAAAGTGCAAGCAACAAGTCTCCAAGGTAATTACAATGCCTAGCAATTCCCCTGTTTCAACAGCAAGTATTAAATTTTTAGGCCGCGAAGAACGAGAGACGTGAACAGAGGGTCAAATTGACGAGACACCGGGAATGCGTTGCCTTACGACACCAATAACAGTTATTTCAGATGAGTATGAGGAAATAAAAGTGGATTGAAATTGATCCACCTTTTAGTGATAGGGTGGCCTCCCATGTCCTGAGAAATGGTGTCCAAACAATACCCATGATTTGCAAAATGTAAGATCTCAACAGGCCTCAGGTTTCAAGATCGAAAAATTCAGGGGTCTTGGCAATATCTTCGTTCCTTGTTTATGGTTTCTAGTTTCTAAGAAACACGTGTTCATGGATTGATTGTTTTACGTTTCTTGTTTTTCATTTTTAAGAGTCTCTAAAATTGTGTATAAAATTTGAAGAATTTATCCTAAAGTATTATTTCGAGAAAAACTTTAACCTATTGAGAGAACAAGAAACGTTACCGTTATCAAACACACTTCGGAAAAACAAGAAACGAGAACATTGCAGTATAGCCCTAAAAAACTATCAGAAAAATTCTGTTCCCCTCAAAACAATTAATGAGAAGTTATGCCTATGACAACAAATAAACAAACATAGATGAAAATCTTACCAATAACCAGAAGCAAGCAACTTTCCTCCTACAACTTTGGGAGGCCTACCCCATATAAGCGCTTTGTTGTTCTTTTTAAACATGTGTTTTTGCTTGTTAGATCCTCTAAACACAAGATATCTGCCCAAATTAGTACACAAAAATCTCACATCTTAGTGAACCTTCAAGACAAGGAAAAAGAAAATGTCAATGATAAGTCATGTCACGTCGTGATAGCTACCCGATTAAAAAGACCGAGCAGTTAGCTATGGTAGCAGCTGTTGTTAGCTCAGACTTGTTTGTTAAAAGCCACCAACCCTATAACAAAAGCGAACACAGATAATCTGAATATGAAAACAAATTTACGATTCATTACTACTTACAATATACAGATAGTTTAACATAGAGCCTACATTAAGCTCTAAAAGATAAATTGAAGGATGAAGATAATGGTCCAGAATTTGTGATGGTGAAATGCGCAAGACAATCTGAACTCATATGGGTGAGTTTCAGTTTGAAAATGGAGAATTAAGAATCCATTTGGACACAAAATACAAACAATATCATAGCAAGTGCGATAATGATCCTGGTTCCATGCAAAAGTTTTAGTCAACAAGATGACTAATAAGTGCAAGTATAATGCAGAAGAACTTGACGATGAACTTGAACTCCTTTCTTTTATCCATAAGGAGTTGGCTTTTAATAAGCAGATGAAAGTCTGTGGAATAGCCTCCTAGATTGAAAGATAGGAGGAGGTCTTTGTGGGAAGCTCGTGTATTCATTTTTGTTAGTTCAACATGTGCAGTTGAGGATTCAAACTTCTAAGCTCTTTAATATTCTTTTTGGTTATGCTTTCATGGGATTTTTGTATTTCGAGGAGGTTTCTTAAAAAAGTTGTGGAAGAAGAACAATTTGTGAATGATTTTCTAGAGGGGATGTTTTCTTATATTTTACCAAGGGTTATAATTTTTCTGTTTACTTCATATACGGAGTGATCTTTCTATATTTCTATATTCCTAAAGGAGGTTTTGCGCTTGTGTAATAGCCCAAGTCCACCGCTAGCAAATATTGTCCTCTTTCGACTTTCTCTACTGAGCTTCCCTCGAAGTTTTAACACGCGTCTATTTAGGAGAGGTTTCCACACTCTTATAAGGAATGCTTTGTTCCCCTCTCCAACTGATGTGGGATGTCACAATCCACCCCCTTTGGAGACCCAGCGTCCTCACTGACACACCGCCTGGTTTCTAACTCTGATACGATTTGTAACAGCCCAAGCCCACCGCTAGCAGATATTGTCCTCTTTGGGTTTTTCCTTGGCTTCCCCCAAAGTTTTAAACGCGTTTGTTAGGAAGAGGTTTCCACACCTTTATAAGAAATGTTTTGTTCCCCTCTCCAGCTTCTCACTAGTTTAATGAAGATCAAGGGAAAGCAAATGCTTAAGTGGCAGTAGAGAAACTGGTAAACTACTTTATTATTTACCTGAATGCTAAATGTAAAAGGAATCCAAACAAGATCTCCAAACACCAGCATGAAGCCTAATCTTTCAGCAATTATGTCCCATCTACACAAGATAAATCATGCCTTAATATTCAGTCCGATTGCACAAGATCGCAAGTGAAATGAAGCGAGTGCTCCAAGCATAAAAATGTATAATGACCACAGTTCATATGAAAATGGCAATTAAGAATTCATAATGGCAGGCACAAAATCTAATGGAGACTATTTTATGTTATACAAACAGAGCTATTATTCACCAGAAACACAGAAACCTGTCTTTTGAAATAACACGCTTTTTGTACAAGGTAATTTGGTTGCTGATTAGAGAGTTTATGAAGGGCAGAACAAGATTCATGACTGTCTCCAAGTAACCAGTTAGGCTAAAAAATACAGAGACTCCAACCACCTCAGACAGACAATAGTCATAATAAGAATAACATAACCGAGATTCAACGAGCACCGGTATCCTAGAGTAGCAACATATAAGCTTCTGCTAGAACATTTTAACGGATGCCATTCACAATTTTATTTCCCTAGTGCCCAAGGAATTGATCAGGGTTTATATTCATTACTTTTCATTGGCAGACTTGTTGATGTCGAAGATCCTTGGCTCTTATTCAATCAAGAGACCGAGCTCAGAAGTATTTCAAAACATGTTTCAAACAACAGGAAAGAATGATCTGAAAATCCACTTACGTGGAGGTCATGTACTCCTCGTGAACGAAGTAGTCCAGGACATATAACTGAATCAACATATTTGACCAAACATCGAACCATTAGATGCCACCAAAATAAAAGGAAAAAAAAATGAAGGAATACAAACTATCAGTTTACCGCACAAAATGTCTGGTAGAGAATCATTGATTGGCTTAAGGTGGCGTCCAAAACACTTCTGGCAAGAACTGATAGGTTAATAAGTAGCCACCCCATCATTCCAGCTCTCACAAAGAAAAATCTACAGGACTTAAAGCATTCTTGTCAATATGAAATCAGGTGCAAAGGACCATCTGTTAGTGGACATAATAAGAATATTGAAAATCAATAAATGTAAATGGCTCAGAGCATCGTCGCATAAGAAGTGGCATTTAAACTAATAACATTATTCCTGAATGGTACGTGATAAAGTTCGAAATAAGTAACATACTTGAGATCAATGCCCAAAAAGTGAGGATTCAACTGCATACCAAACCACCTGTTAAGCAGCAAAAAAAACTGATACTTAGATAAGTGGTCAAATGAGACTTAAAGAATTTAGCAAACAAAAAAATTATGCTTTTTTTTCAAACTTTCAAAAACTAAAAGCCAAAAGGAGAACCAGTGACATTATACATATACAGAGAAAGGAACCAAAATTGAATATGTACCAATCGTGAATAAAGTTCCCTGTGATACAGGGCTTTAGGGAAGAACTTTGACTACTTGAACTGTGGCCAGCAACACAGAGTAAAAATGTTGCCTGAAAGTGAGACATTAAAGAGAAGGTTAAAAAAAGAGAGCTAGAAATAGAGAAGTAATTGATAATAGATGACCAGAAGATTCAGAGACCAAACTTAACAAATAGTTAAAAGGTCATGTTATAAGAATAACCACATAGTGCAAGAATCATGGTACTGGTATTGTGTTTTAATTATTGAAATCGGATAATCCTCAAAATTCTTGCATGATGATTTGGATTTGGGGCCCTAGAAACAAGCTTATTGATGGTCATTGTAGGAAATCTTCCAAAGTGGTTCCTAGGAAGTTACAAATCAACAGAATCCCCAATTGAATTCCTCTTATAACATAAAGCCCTTTCAGAATTACAATGGGATATCTTAAGAAACAAACAAGCGTATTCTACACTAACCAACTATTTATCGCTGAGGAACAAGAAGTTTTGTGTTTAGGTGCAGAAATAGTTATCCATACGGAAGCTTGTCAACATGATAGAACCACTTGATCGGCCCCCAATGCTTAATGTCAAAAATAGAAAGAGAATGAGGGGGCGGAAAATGATATAAAAGTGTGTGTGAGGATTGTTGTAGTGGGGTCCATGTGACGATTATGATGTAGGCTTGAGTAAATATGAGGAAGCATACAAATAAAAGCTTTGGCTTAGAGGTATATGTGGTTTCAGTTAGTTATGCTTTTGGCTTAGAAAAGATAGGGGGACTCAGAATCCCCCTTTGTGACACCCGAGTAAAGGAACAATACATGAATAAACTGAGACCACATTCGAATGAGAGCAATCCTTAGGATAGGATGTCTAAGAAAGACTTAAAGAATTTAAAAGTACTAACTATACTAACAAGGTGCACCTTCTTTTATGGTAGCTCAATCATAAAAACTTATAGTTAAGCGTGCTTTGCTGTTGGGTAATCTCCTGGGAATTTTTCTAAGATGCATACAAGTCAAGACAAAACATGTTGGAAAAACTCGTGTTGATCTGTGGGGATAACCTTCACTCTTAGAAGCGAAGAGTAAGTAACGTGACCATGACGCAGGAGAATGTTTGGGTCATCAAGTGCCGAATTCTAATTCCAAATCCTGGGCATGTGTCGTTCGCTTGTACCTCTTTGTTATCAACAAGAGTTAGTCTCTATCACCACCACTCAAATCTCAAAAGGAAAAAGGTAGGCGTAAAAAGTCAACAGGGATGTTGATGTGCAAAAGTTCAATGCAGAAAACTATCAGCAAGTAACGTTAATAGTATCATCTGCACAGCAAATAGTTCAGATATTCAATTTGAAATTTCACATACCAGGACACTAAACCAGAAGGTTGCGGATAACAGCTCCACCCCTCTATCTGAAATTGCCTACATATGAGTTGTATTATAAGCATCTAATGAGGACAGTTACCAACATCAAGGAAGAAATACTAATACAAAATTTCAATAAAAAAATTTCCGAAGAGCCAAATAAGTAGAATGATCCAACACATACAAAAATCAATGAACACTCACAGTGGGCGAAATGTAATTCATCTTAACACCAATCCCAAGAAGTGCAACAAGCACCAGAAGAGAGAGTAGACCTATAGCAGCACAAAAGAACCCAAAGAGGAATCCAAATTTTTAGTACTAATTTGCCAAGAAATGATGATCTCAGTGATATCAAACTTAACAAACTGCATTTACATATGAGATAACGATACCATTGCAGCGATAATGAAGCCTAGTGCGGTCCGGCAAGATCACTCCTGGGATAATCCTTCCAGGTAGAACAGAGCCAGCAATCGCCAAGTAAACGAAGAAAATGAAAAGTATAGCAACCTGATTATCCAACAACATACAGCAGGAAGAATCTCAAACACATTGAAGTCTAAATCAAACTTAAACAAGAGAATTAGAACTTACAGCTTCCCAAGAGGGGATTGCAAGTTGAAGAAGAAACTCCAGATCCATATTCCTCAAGAAATCGATTATTGACAACTTGTTCGGATTTTGTCGCTCGATCCACTTGCTTTCCTCTGGTGACAATGATAATTTGCTGCAAAATTAGAACTAATTTCTTCTCGGGATTGTCTAATTTCAACTATGGCTGCCTTTAGCTCGAGCCCCGAGCCTGTTCATCGCAGCTACTAAATCCACGGGCGCTGGTTGAACTTCTCTGCTAACTTGTAATTCTGGTTTAGGTGACAAAGACGATGAATAAAGAATTAAAAAAAAAAAAAAAAAAGAGTTTTAATATATATATATATTTTTTCTACAATAATTAACAAACATATTTTTTTAATAAAGAAAATATCGTTAATTATCAAACAAAAAATAAAATAAATTCAGAAATAAAATTATTAAATTTGAGAATTGAGTGATTGTATTTTTTTTTCAACATTTTTTTAAGAAATTTGGTATTATGTTTATAAAATAATAAAAATTGTTGTAAATAAAAATGTATTTGTAATATTATGTTTTTAAAATTTAAAGTATTTAGACCAATATTCACTTAATCATTTAAATTGAATAAATTTAGAAACAACAAAAAAAAAATTAAAAAAAAAAGAAAAAAAAAAAGAAAAAGACATTTACTAATTTATATTTTATTCATTTAAAGTTATTGGAAGATTGCAGTGTTCCGCGAAACACTTGATTATAAGTTCCACGGAACTTTACGGTCGCTCAGTCCTTCGCCTTCGTTGAGATAAAAAGGGAAAACAAAAATAAAAACAAAAACCCTACCTGCAACTTCCCATTGATCTCTGTTCTTCTCCAATGGAGTTTTGGGGTAATTTCCTCTCTTCCCTTTTCTCCTTTGCTTCTTCATTGATTTCTTCTTCTCCTCTGCGCTTCTTCTTAATTGGCTAAGATCAACGAGTTTTATTTCATTTTTTGTAGTGATTTAGGTATTATGACTGTAGAAAAATAGTTGAAGAGTACATTTAGCTTAAGGAGTTGTTTTTGTTTTTGTTTATATTCTTCCTTGGAAGCTTCTGGGTTTAGGCTACCTGTTTATGCACTGGAATTTTGCTATTTTTTTAATTTTCAATGCTATCTTGGGAATAATTTGATTTGAACCGCTATTTTGTTTTATTAAGTTCGTCACTGTTGGAATTTGTGTGTATATGACGTGAATTTGAGTGTTAAGAGACTGAAGGCAAAAGGCGCTTGAACGATTTTGGACTCGCTTCTCTTTTCCGGAGATGTGATTATGGATATGGTTTGTTTGAAATTTGATGTGCATTGTTGATTTACATCGGTTCTGTTTAACGAGATAGGATTGCTTCATCTCAGTCTTTACGTTTTTGCTCTTTCTGGTTGTTTTATTTTCTTGTTTATGTGCGGCCTTTTTAGTTAGCTCCCTTCTTTTGGCTAATTAATGAGTTCCTACTTATTCATAGTGCGTAGAAGTTTTTTGAACTTATAGTTTAGGAAAACATTAATTGGAGCTGCTATTGCTGGATGATTCCAAATTTTCAACATTTATTTGTAATTTATTGTCGCTAGTATCTATCTGGCTGGTGATGAAAGATCAAGATAACAGTTTCTGCTGGAAATGGAGAGTGGTTTTATATGTCATGTGCCTATTATTTCTTGGTGGATATGCTGGAGTTACTACAGATTCTCAGTTCTCTTACACATCGATGTACCTAACTAAAAGCACATTGGTATATGCATATTCAGTTCTGTGCTGGCTCTATGTGTTTCCATGACTCAGTGCTATTGATATGTCGTGCAGGTGCTGAGGTTAAAGCTGGAGAACCTCTCTTGGTGAGTCCCGGAGAGGAGAATATATTGCATCTGTCGCAGGTATCGTCTTTGAGCTAGTTTGTTTATATGTTGATGAGAAATCAGTTGGGCATTTGTTGAGTTATATAATTTCCGCAGGCATGCCTTGGAGAGTCCAAGAACAAAGGAAGTGAACAGGTTTTTCTGTATGTCAAGGTCGGCAATCAAAAGCTTGTTCTGGGGACATTATCCTCAGAGAAATTCCCACAAGTATCTTTTGATCTGGTGTTTGACAAAGACTTTGAGCTATCTCATAATTGGAAAAATGGAAGCGTCCACTTTACGGGATATTTATCCCTCCTTCCAGAAGAATATCCTTTCTCCGAGTTCCTAAATAATTTTAGTTTTTTTTAATTCAACATTTAATTTAATTTTTTTAATTTTCATTAAAAAAAGTTATGTAGTTTAATTGTTTACTTCGCACTTTCTTGTGTTTTTTCCTTGACTAGTTTGAGTTTTTCTCATTGCCACGGAGGAATCTTGTAAGTTATCTCTCATAAAAGGCATTGTAACTTTATTTTTATTTCATTAAAATCAATGAATAAGCACTGGTTTGGTGTTTTCTTTTCCATTTCAGATACTGATTCTGAAGAGGATCTTCCACAAGCTGTCATTGACAATGGTAATGTGTACTTTCTGATACTGGTTTGTGTATTTGTCATTTATATTTAATTATTTATGCTCTAATACTTTGGTTGCAGGAAAACCAGAGCCACAGCCACAGCCACAGCCTAAGAAAGATGAAAAGCCTGGTACTTCTGGAACGAAGAAAAAAGTGCAGATTGTAGAACCAAACAAAGGTGGCTCTATTGACACTAAGAAGAATGAAGACATTTCTGACGAAGATGATGATGAGGATGAAGACAGCTCGGATGATGAGGTGCACTGTCATTTTACTTCTTAGTGGGAATTTATTTAAAAAAAAAAAAGATTCATGATAAACAGGGTACAAAATTAATTAATTTAGCTCTCATTTTCATTCCATGTGAAACTCGAGAATGTTCCAGGAAGATAGGTTTTCAAATCATTGATTAAAAGAATTTTGGCTATTCTGAAACAGTTTTAATATTTCCTTATTATTTCACTTGCGGCTAATCCGCCCCGCTTCAATTTATCCAGTATTTGATTACCTTATCATGTGCAAATCTTTCAATCTTTGTCTTGTACAATGGTCATACCCGATGGAGCATTGTTTCTTCCTGAGCTACTTAGATATTTGCTATTGTCTGAGGCATATAAGGAAGTTGGTATCTTAGGATTTACTCTACAAATATGTCCACTTTTTTAAACAAGAAATGAAAAGAGTAATACTCAAAAATACAAATTCCATAAATGAACGAAACAGAATCACAAAGGAAAAGTAAAAGCATCACAAAAGATTCGAAAAGAGAACATCGAGAAGAAGACTTCTGGATTTTCAAATGGATACTAATATGGCCATTTAATTTCAACTTTCTTTATCATCTGTCCTGGTTTTCTTCAGAATGCAAATGGAGGTGAAGAAGACGACAGTGATGATGAAAATGAATTTTCTGGCGACGACAGTGATGATGACGATGAAAATGAAGACTTGGATGACAGTATGGAAGAGGATGAGCAGACACCAAAAAAGGTTCAAGCCTGCTATCTTTCTCTAATTCTTAGAGAATCTTGATTGCTTCGAGCTAGGCATTCTTTTCTTTTATTTGCTATTTTTTTCAACCAAATAATTGTTGGACCCATTGAAGGCTGAAGCAAGCAAGAAGAGGCCTTTAGAGGCTGCTAATAAAACGCCTGCTCCTGATAAGAAGACAAAACTCGTCACTCCCCAGAAAACTGGTTTGTTTCTTCTGACCTTTATGAACATGTTTTACATTCTGATTTCTTAGCCATTATATTGCTATATATGTGTTGTTGACCACTCGATCTTACCATATTCGTTTTCCTTTGGAATTCATGTTATTGCATTGAAATTTCATGATTGTTCATTTTTTTTATACTTAATTTAATGTTATTTTTTACGACAGATGGCAAGAAAGGCGTTCCTCATGTAGCTACTCCTCATCCTTCAAAACAGGCTGGGAAAATGCCTCCTGCTAGTGACCAAAATAAACAGCAGATTCCCAAATCAGCTAGTGGTGCATTCCCCTGCAAATCTTGCAAGAGGTATCTCTTGCTACACGTGTTTTTCTAATTGCTTGGAGAATTAAATGGTTAGACTTTAGTCTAACTGTGGCAACAAACTTTACTGCAGGGCATTTGGCTCAGAAACTGCGTTACAATCCCACACAAAGGCTAAGCACAGTACTGAGAAGTGACCAGGTTAATATTTCAGGAAGAACGTGTTGGATTTGCTCAACCTGGCCAGTACGTTAGATCCGAACCACGATACTGGCTGGTTTTGAATTTTCTACCCCTCAACCCTTTCGAGGTTCATCTTCTAAATGTTCTGATGTGATTTCAGATGTTATTATTATCATAAGCTTCAATGTATGGACACTGGTTTTCCTGGTGATGGTTCGTTTTAGATATCGCAGATGCTAGTCTTGACTTATGCTGTAGGTCTTTTTAGATTCAGTAATATATTATCTAATGTTACTTTAGCTCAAGTTCGAGCTTATTCTTCTGTCTTTTTTTTTTTTTTGGCAACATTGGAAGAGAAGAATTAAGTAAGAAAGATGAAATTGCCTGTCAACTTCATCCTTGCTTTCAGATTGCTCTATTGCTTTACCTGTGGTGCTTGGAGACCCTTTGCTTGGATAAGTTGGTTTCTTGGACTAGCCCATGTTGTTGTGCAACTTCGCTCGTCGAATGCTGGCATGGCATGATCTATCTAGGCAATTTTCCTTGCCTTTGTTTGGGTCTTTTAGAGGAGAGTAGAAATAAGCACTAGAAAGGCCTTGGCGACGAGATCTGTGCGAAGTAAAACTTCTTTTTCTAATCTGTGGCGTGTTGGGATCGAAGGACATCGAAATGGTGGATGGAGGCCGTGGGTGTGACTTTTATTTTTGTACCTAATAGATTCTTGAACTTTAAAGATTATCTAATATTTTTAGAGGTTTCAATTTTATATATAGTAGATCTTTATCATCAAAATGTCATACAATGTAACTAATCTTTTAATGTGAGAATCTACATCAAGGAGAAAAGAAACATTCTTTATTAGAGTGTGGAAATTTAGGCTTGGATTTTTACAATTAAAAGCGTTCACGTCTAGGGACGAGAAAGACTTTCTTAGCCTCATTTAATTGCTCATCATTGTAACCAATTTTCTTTAGTTTCAAGGGAATATATTTCTGTGTCACCGCTTGAAATTGATATTTGATATTAGTTATTTAGGTAGGTTTGATTAACATTTTTTTTTTAATAAATTAATAATAAAATCAATTTATCATAAAAGTGTACCTTTTTAATATATTGATTGATTTTAATTAACTAAAAAATACATTAAAAAAATAAAAAGAAAGCAGGGAATGAGGATTTTTTTTTTTTTAATTATTATTATTTCCTTGCGTGGAGATTTTCCAACCCTGACCTCCATTCATTAAAGTGGGTAATATTGTGAATAAAATATTAGAATAATTGATGATAAAGTGACTCACTTTATAAACTATAAAGTTTATATATATATATATATATATTTTTTAATTAAAGTAAGAAATGCCTTAAAAAGAAAATTAAAAAGATTAAATAATTGGTGGGCGAATTTATAAATAGGCCGGCCCATATATAATTATCCCTTGTATTTTCCGCCTGATTACTGAATTCTGAAGCTTCCCTCCTTACCAAAACCAAAACCACTCGAAACCCATCCCTCTGCTACCCATCTCTCGACAACAATGGCGGCCTCTTTCTCCATTTCCAGGCTCTCTCTCTCCCTTTCCTCTGCTTCTTCCATTTCTCTCTTCCCCTCCAGAGCCACCGCTCTCTCTTCCCGTCTCTCCTTCTCTTCCCTTCCCCTCAATTCCTCCCGCCGTATCTCCCCAAAACCCCTCCGATTCTCCTCTTCTCCTACCTCCAAATCCACCATCTCCGCTGCCCTTTCCGTCGGCGATAAGCTTCCGGAGTCCACTTTTTCTTTCTTCGACGCGGCCAACGAGCTCCAGACCGTCACTGTCTCTGACCTCACCAAGGGCAAGAAGGCAGTCTTCTTTGCCGTCCCCGGGGCTTTCACTCCGACTTGCTCTCAGAAGCACCTTCCCGGTTTCGTTGAGAAATCAGCCGAGCTTAAGGCCAAAGGTGTCGACACGATCGCCTGTATTTCGGTTAATGACGCCTTTGTGATGAAGGCCTGGAAGGAAAATCTCAATGTTAACGATGAGGTTCTGTTGTTATCCGATGGGAATGGGGATTTCACTAGGGCGATTGGTTGCGAGCTTGATTTGAGCGATAAGCCGGTGGGATTGGGCGTTAGGTCGAGGCGTTACGCGCTTTTGGCTGAGGATGGAGTCGTGAAGGTCTTGAATTTGGAGGAAGGAGGTGCATTTACCTTCAGTAGTGCTGAGGATATCCTCAAAGTTCTTTGAATGAAATGAGATGAGATCAGATTCCTTTCTTTTTCTATTGAACCCTATCATTTTCCACTGCTTGTTGGTTCACTTCATAGTGTAGCTATTTCGATTTTGGCGAATAAATGTGATGAATTGCATCTGTTAGAATCAATCTCTGAGTTCGTCTTCATGGTTCTTGATTTTGCTTTTCTTGTTTTTTCTCGTCCTTTTTTTTTCTTTTTTGTGACTTGTTTTTATGCTTCATGTTCTATGACAAGAAAGAATGATAATTTAGCACGCCTACACATGTTCGACAAAATGCCTGAAAGAACCCACCTCACTACCTCAAGCATGAATTTTCTTGCATTCTACCAAACATATCATTCTTTGTTGTCATAGAACAAGAAATTAAAGATTTCATCTCCGAAATTAATAATATCTCAACCAAATGACTTCTGAATGCTATTGAAGCTGTTGATATATTTATCCTTTGATTGCTTATTGGGTTTAGTTAGCAATTAGAAACTCCTAAGGTGAATTAGCAGCTAAACGGTTCATTCTTGTCAACAAGATTCACAAGTGAAGTAAAAAAAAAAGGACTCGAAGTCCAATCCATCATCTTTTGTGATCTCCATTCATTTCTTTTTGTTCTATATTCACAAGCTAGCTGTTGCCTTTGTGGGCAACAAAACTTTGCTAAAACAATTCCTAGGTTCTACATCATGGTTGGGGTACTAAGAGCTGGGAACAATGGTGCCAACATACCCAAACCCCACAATGAAAAACGAAAGTGATTGAACAAAAAGGAAAATGAAGAAGTTGGTTTTCCCAAAGAGAACACTATAGCATCCACAAAAGAAGAGGTAGGCTCCAATCCCAAGCTCCATGAAATGAATTCTGTTGATATACAAAAAACAAAGCCCATGTTAGACGATAGTATAGTGATGTCCTTTAAGAAAACTATTGTTGTTAGGGAAGAACTGAAAAGTACCTATCTCCAATTCTAACCCTCGGTTTCTTGTTTGCTTTTGAGGCTGATTTTCCCTTCAGAATATCTCCCAACTTCTCAGTGACAACCCATTCATTTGCTCGACTACCTTCTAATAAACCAATGAGGGTCGCCTTGGCTCGGTGTAGAGACATAACATTCTCAAACATAATCCAGAAAACCGTCAAGTGGAATGACCTGAAACAAACAACCCAATAAGAGCTTAGAATTTAGGACACCATTACAAAACACTTCCAACACAACACGAATTTGACACAAAGAAACCTACTTTGGAGTCCCGATCGCATTAATAATGGAAGTTGCCGTAGGAATATACACTGCTCCCCATTTTGGAATTTCGACTTCAGGTACCCAAACAGTTGCTGGCAGAACAACGCAGAAGAAAAGAAAGGTGTTGATGTGAGCTATGATCTTCCTGACGAAAAAGAAGCTGTAAATCACATGCACCTTCTTCCACAATGTCACTTTCTGCAGTAAGAAATTCCCAGATCTTAGTCACCCTGTTTCAATATTAAGTTGATTCACAAAGACAAACCAAACCTGAGTAGCATCAACGTTTGAGGATACCTTGTTTCTTGCTATCTCCATGACCATTTTCCTGAATAGGTTTGCAGGGCCGCAAGACCATCTGTGTTGTTGGAATCGAAAGGCCTTGAAAGTGCTTGGCAGTTCATTTTTAACCTATTGGTATGAAACAGATATCAATTTTTGAATTTGAGAATCTTTAAGAAGCAAAAGGCTGTTAGAAGTTAGGACTTAGTTACTTGAAGGTCACCAAGGTACAAGAATTTCCAGCCCTTAAGACTAGCCCTAACAGCCAAATCCATGTCCTCCACCGTGGTTCGATCTTTCCATCCCCCAGCCTCATCGATCGCTGCAATTCTCCAAACTCCTGCTGTGCCTGGTGTATATCAAACGTTGAGCAACAGTTTTAGAATGAGATAAGATTGAATTATTCAAATAGGTGAAAGGGGAGTTTGTGCAAACCATTAAAACCGAAGAAGGCATAGGTGGAGGAGCCAACTTCTTGCTCGACCGTGAAATGGTAGTCCAACGACATCTCTTGCAGTCTTGTCATCATACATTCGTTGGAGTTCACTGCAAAAAACATAGCGGGATAAGTCCCGGAGAGCATGATTCTCAAGTCTGTGTTCTGTATTGTAGAACTAAAAAGGGTATAGGTTAAAGTAGTGTTACCGAAAATCCATCGAGCTTGAATCAGAGCAAGTTCGGGATTATGAACAAGATAAGGAATAGATCGCTGAAGAAAATCGGGTTCAGGTTGAAAATCAGCATCAAAGATGACGACATATTCACATTCTTTTGCATAGCTGCGTTTCAGGCCTTCTTTCAAGGCACCAGCTTTGTATCCAGTCCGGTTGTCTCTTACTTCGTACTTTATGTTTATCCCTTTGTTTTCCCATTTCTTGCACTCAAGCTTCACCATATCCTGTTCATGAGTTCAACCATTTTCTTATCGTTTCTTCTAAGAGAAGTTCTAGTTTTGAGATGGGATTTTGTTGTATATCTACCTGGATTGTTGGGACTGTTGAATCGTCCAATACTTGTATTATGAACCGATCAGATGGCCATGATAGCTCGCTAGTAGCTCTGATCGACCATTGATAAACCTAAAATGAATGAAGATATTTTTATGTCAATTTGAGTCTAACTCAGTCAAAACAAGCACGAAAAAGGGTAAAGAGAAAAAGAAAAAAAACAGAGCAACCTCTTTTTCATTAAACATGGGGATCTGAACAAGAACCATAGGATAAACCGAGTTCCCTATCTCGGAATCGTCTTTAATGGCTTCCCATTTATACCGTTTCTCCGGTGTCCAACGGAGCAGTTTCACAGCAACGATCACAACTCCCATATAAATTCTCTCGATGAACTGCATCACCGACAACGTGGAACAGACTGCCATCACAACCTGAAGCAGAGGGGCAATAACAGGAGCCCTAATGGCGTTCCAAATGAGAAGAAGGTGGGCTGGAATGCCATCTCCGGGCGCCCAAAATGCTCCAGGAAGAAATGCCGACGTCGAGAGCTGCTCCATTTCCGGCTCTAAGGATCAAAAATTGAAATACTGAAAAGAAATAGAAATTATTAGGGGGAAAAAAGGGTTATTTTTTATTCTGCTTCTGCTACGGATTGCAGAAGCAGAGAAGCAATAGAGGAAAGGTTTGAATGTGAAGGGGAAGTGGAGGAAGATGGGAATTTAAAGCAAAAAGTTCTTAAGGTAAGATATGGAAATTTGTGGATGGTGGGAAGTGCTAGAATTTCTCCTTTTAACCATAAGTTGTTTTTTTTTGGCTATAAAACCAGTGTGGCTGTGAGGGCTTATAGCCCTTCAAATGAGGAGGACAAACGGTATAATGTACATAATATATGTTCAAGTATGGCTCCTAACTATATGGATTTGTAATTTTTTTTTTTTTCTAACTTAAACTATGAACGTGACATTCTATGTTTTGATGAAAAAATATGATTGACAGATTAGAAATTCAAATCTCATCGTCCAACTAGACTCGGAAATCTCTCCTAACATACTGGTTTAAAATTTTGTGAGGCTGATTGTTAGGCTTTGCCTGTTATAGATGATATCAGAGTTAGATATCGAATGGTGTGCTAACGAGAACATTGACCTTCAAAGGAGGTGGATTGTTACATCCGTACATTGGTTGAAAAGAGAAATGAAACATTTCTTATAACGGTGTGGAAACTTCTCCCGGACTGGACGCATTTTAGAACCGTGAGGCTGATGACAATATGTAACGAGTCAAAATGAACAATATCTACTATTGATGGGCTTGAAGTATTACAAATAGTATAGAGCTAGACACTGAGACTTACGACAAACAATAAATAAGGGACTGAAATTGTTGAGTGACGACAATAAGGGACTGAAATTGTTGAGTGACGACAATAAGTAAGAGACAAAATATCTATTATTATAAATTATTATTTCTCTTTGAAAATTTTAATTTTTTTTATTAATATTTTAAAATGGTATTTACCTAGGTGGGAAAGGTAACTAGGCGCACACCATGGCCTTTGGAGACAAGAATATGCTCCAAAATCGAACATTAATCTTAGCAAACAACGTTAAAACAAAACATTGAATCAAAAACGATGGAATTTCCAAAGCTTCTAAGCTCAATCTCGTGTCTTTCTTATATTTAATCTTCTTCTTCTTATCCACTTGAAATTTCTACATTATTTCGAAACCCATCGCCGGAAAACATGGCGAAAGAGCGGCGAAGTTCAAGTTTCCGGTGGGTTTTCCGGAATCTTGTGCAGCCGGAGCCAGACACGGCGGCCATCGGTTTCTTATCCTTCGAAATCACAGCTCTAATGTCAAAGCTTGTTCTGCTGTGGAATCGATTACAAGACAGCGAATTCACAACAGTAAAACAAAACCTCTCAAGTTCAACAGGAATCAAGAAGCTAATTTCAGACGACGAACAGTTTCTAATGGAAATTTTCATGAAAGAAATCGTTGAAGATCTTCAATACATCGCCAAATCAATTGTGAGATTTGGGCCCAAATGTTCGGATCCTGTTCTTCACGAATTTGAAAAATTCGTCACTGACCCATTGAACAACGAATTCAATTGGTTTGGTTGGCAATACAAATGGAAGAAAATGGACAGACGAGTTAAGAAAATGCAGAGATTCATTGTACTCACGGCGGAGCTGACGAGAGAAATGGAGATTGTGGCGGAGATTGAACGGCATTTGCGGCGGAAGACGGCGATTTTCGCCTTCTCTGGCGGCAAAAGACATTCGTTCAAGTATCGGAAGAAAATTTCGTGGCACCGCCGCCATGTTCAGAGCTTGAAATTGACGACGCCTTGGAACAGAACATATGATTACATTGTTAGACTTTTCATGAGATCCATGATTACAATTATAGAACGAATCAAAATTGTGTTTGGAGTTAAGGAAATCCGGCGGCTGGATTACGGCGGAGAGAAATCGGCCGACCGCCTAGTCCCGGTGGGGAGTTGCAGGAGGTCGGAATTAGAAGAACAGGGGAAAAAACAGAGCAATAATCATTGTCCGCCATTGATGAAGATTTCTTCAGGGATTAAAAAAGCTCCTCAATTTTCGCATTTCCCATCGTTCCGAGACTGTAAAGACGGCGGAATTGGATCACCGCCGCCACTAACAGCGGCGCGCCAAACGCTGCCGTTGACGGTGAAAAACAGAGCACCATCTTCGCCGAGACGAACCAATGGCGGCCATTATTCAATCTCATCATTCTTCATCAAAGAGAATTTATCAAACCCACCTCCGAATTCCCTCGGCGTCGCCGCCTTAGCAATTCATTACAGCAAAATAGTGATTTTAATCGAGAGATTGGCGTCGGCGCCTCACCTGATCACCGCCAAGGATCGGCACGAACTCTTCAACATGTTACCAGCGAGTATCAGAAAGGCTCTGATGTCGGCAGCAAAATTTCGGCATCCGCCTTTGTATTACCCGGATCTCGCGGCTGAGTGGAAATCGGCGATGGGAAGAATATTCCAGTGGTTAGCTCCAATGGCTCGTGACATGGAGACATGGCATTCGGAGCAGAGCATTGAGAAGCAGCCCGACGGCGCAGGCACCGCCGCAGATGGCGGTGGTTCAAGGTCCCATGTGTTGTTGCTTCAGACTTTTCATTATGCAGACAGGGAGAAGACAGAGAGCGCCATTGTTGAGCTGCTTGTGGCTTTGAGCAATATTTGCAGTTCAGGTCAAATTTTTATTTAGCGTATGAAATTTATTAACGTAATTGGGCCTAACATCAAGTAAGCCCAATAAAAAATAGGCCTTATGAGTAGGCCCAAAACAAAGTTCAAATTCAAAGGGTTTACATCAATAACGTTATACTATATCACTGTCAGTCTCACGGGTTTAAAATTTGTCTATTTGGGAGAAATGTGTCTGTTAGGAGAAAGGTTTTCACACAATTATAAGCAATGTTAAGTTCTCCTCTTCTCCTCTCCAATCCATATGGGATCTCATAATTCACCTCTCTTGGAGGCCTAACGTTCTCATTGAAACAATCCAAGCTCACTGCTAACAAATATCGTCTACTTTGGTCTATTACGTGCCACCAATCTCATGGTTTTTTTTAAAATGCATACATTAAAGAGAGGTTTTCCCACCCCTATAAGGAATTTTTCGTTTCCCTTTTCAACCGACGTGGGTTTAAAAATGGGTGCTACTCTTGCCCAAACATGCTTAACTGTGAAGTTGTGATGGGATCTGGATTAGTGCTAGCATGATCGCACCTAAGTAATATGATTGTCTTATCAGTTAAGGTTGATAATACAAGTTTGTTTCATCGAATCTTAATTAATTATATATATTTAATATAATTATATTTAAGTTTCCCCTGAAAACAATTTTGAAAAATGTGTAAAAGATTGTCTGCTGGTCACATAGCCATTAGGAATTTGTCTGTTGGAAAAGCCTATAAGTCAACAAAGAAAAAGAAGGTTCTTCTCATACCTTATTCACTTTAAAAACAAATATATATATATATATTCATTATTTTTATTAAAAATAATAAAAATAAACCAAGCAATTTCTATGAAAATAAAAGGTCTAATAAATACTAATAAATTAAATTATAAATTTAATTTCACCCATTAAACATAAAATTAAAAAATTAAAAAATTAAAAATTTATTAAATACAAAATTAAAATATAATTATATAAATTTGGAGACGTCAATCTCGCCATCAATCACTCTTTAAATTTAGTTTTTTTTTTTTTTTTTATCTAAATAATAATTGTTTTTTTAGGTTAAATTAGAAAAGAGGAAGATTTAAAAAAAAGAAAAAAAGGGTAAAAAGTGAAAAAAAGAAAAGCTGAAGCAATTGGTTTGCTTTAGTCGACAACGTTTTGGCCCCACATGCCCATCTCCATCTCTCAAATTTAAAAACAAAAATTTAATTCTTTTTTATAATAAATTATTGATAATTTCATAATTTTAAAAAAATAATATTAGATAAAAATTTAAATTTTAAGTCTAATAAAACTTAAATTTTTAGATAAATTAAAAATTTTAGAATTAAAAAATTAATTTAATAAAAAATAATAATGTTAAATTGTAAAATGGGTTGAAAAGTTTATCCAATCATATATGAGACTAAGTTAGTAATTAAACTAATAAAGTGCATTTAGTTTAATATAAATTTTTGAATTAATTTAGATTATCATTTTTTTTTGTTAATTAGTAATAAAAAGCACTTTAGAAATTAGACTAATTTAAATTCCTTTATTTATTTTTACACGGATTATAGAATTTGTCTTGTTCCCTAATTTTTTTAACCATATAAATTAAATTATTACAAATTTAAACATATAAAAATTTAAATACTCAAATTAATAAAAAGATTTAGGTTCACATTAAGTTTATTTTTAGATTATATATATATATATATATAATTAATTAATTAATTAAAATAAAAACCCCAAAAGTTTGTTATTTGACTTTGACTTGACATTCAAATTGTTTATGGCTTTGTCTGAAGAATTTAAATATACTAAAAAAAGGTAAAATAAAAGTGAATTGAAGATGGAAATAAAATTGTAAAGTAAATATTTTACCAATTGAAATAAAATGGTAAAAAAATAATTTATTAACTTCAAGAAATGTGATATATAGGGCCCACAAAAGGCAATAAAGCTGATAACATTATTACTTTAGCTAAGAGTAGTTTGTCAGAAAAAAAATGTTTTTTTTATATTTTTTATGACGTAAAAAATATTAGGACGATGTACCATCTTACTCGATTATATCATGACACTTTTCTATCTTGACTGTTATACTGTGCGACAACATAGGAAGGTCGTCTCGGAGTGTCGGTCTTATCGTGTCTCAGCATCCATGTATTTGAAAGAAAAAAAACTATCGTAATTCGAAGTTTTGAGAAACGAGGTCGGATAAGTTAATGAATGAAAGAAAAAGAAAAAAAGGAAACAAATTCCCATTCTTCACTCATTTCATTATATGAGGAGTGGAAGACAGCAATGATTCAAATAAAATTGTAAAATCATTCCCTCTCTCAGTTTCAATCAGCCCCTTAATTTTTTTATGATCATAATCTCTTTTTCTTAATTAATCAATTCTCAAACACATTCTTTAATCATTCCCCATTTCCCTTTCTCTGTTTGTGAATTGATTGGCGGATCAAACAGATTCTGTTTCTCTGTCTCTGTAACCTTCTTCTTCCTCAGACAGAGACAAATCAACACGATATTCCTTTGCTTTTTTTCCATTTGGGTTCCTTCAATTCTTTCTACAAACCCATTTCAGGCCCCAAATCCTTCGATGGTGATGATGATGGTGAAGGAGAAGAAGGAGGTGAAGATTTTCAGTTCCGCCATAGCTTTTCTTCTCTGCATTACCCTTTTGATTTCACCTTCTCTCTGTTTAGATGATACTTCTGCTCTGATTCGCTTCCGTCTTCAAGCTGATTCCCATGGCGGCCTCCTCGGAAACTGGACTGGTTCTGATGCTTGTGGTTCTTCATGGCGGGGAGTTCAGTGCTCTGTTAATGGCCGCGTTATCGCTCTTTCTCTTCCTTCTATGAACTTGCGTGGCCCCATTGAGTCTTTAGCGCCGCTCGATCAGCTCCGCGTACTCGATCTCCATGACAACCGTTTGAACGGAACCATTTCGCCGATTGTGAACTGTACGAATCTCAAGCTGTTGTATCTCTCTGGCAATGACTTCTCCGGCGAGATTCCGCCGGGATTCTCGTCTCTCAGACGACTTCTCCGACTGGATTTGTCTGATAACAACATTCGCGGCGGAATTCCTGAGGATCTCTCGAAATTGTCTCGACTTCTTACTCTCCGTTTGCAGAATAATGTCCTCTCCGGCACGGTTCCCGATCTCTCTGTTTCGCTTGTGAATCTTACTGAAGTTAATTTAACCAACAATGAACTGTACGGACGGTTACCTGACGGGATGGTGAAGAAATTTGGCGAGAAGAGTTTCACCGGTAACGAAGGGGTCTGTGGGTCGAGTCCTTTACCGATCTGTTCGGTTACTAGTTCACCGCCGGCGTCGGATTCCGGCCGAACGGTACCATCAAATCCAATCTCAATACCGAAAAACCCTAATATCAGTCCGAACATTAAGGAATCGCGAAAAGGGCTCAGCCCTGGCGCGATTGTTGCGATTGTGATCGCAAACTGCGTTGCATTGCTCGTGATTATCTCCTTCGTCGTCGCGTATTACTGCGCTCGTGACCGGAGCTCGAGTTCCATGGCGGGAAGCGACAGTGGGAAGAGAAGAAAGAGCGGAAGTAGCTACGGAAGCGAGAAAAGAGTCTACGCCAATGGCGGTGGCGACAGTGACAGTACTAACGCCACAGATAGAAGCAAACTGGTGTTCTTCGATTGGAAGAAGCAATTCGAGCTTGAAGATTTGCTGAGAGCCTCGGCGGAGATGCTCGGAAAAGGAAGCTTGGGGACTGTGTACAGGGCGGTACTCGACGACGGTTGTACAGTGGCGGTGAAGAGATTGAAGGATGCAAATCCATGTCCGAGGAAGGATTTTGAACAGTACATGGATGTGATTGGGAAGCTGAAACATCGAAATATTGTTAGATTGAGAGCTTTTTACTATGCTAAAGAAGAAAAGCTTCTTGTTTATGATTATCTTCCTAATGGAAGCTTGCATTCTCTTCTCCATGGTTGGTTCTGTTGAAGCTTTTGAGCATGCTTACAAACTGTTCGATGAAATTCACCAATGAAAATTTTTGCTGATTTTTCTGGTTTTGTTGTTGTTTTTGCTGATTGAATCAGGTAATCGAGGTCCAGGAAGGATTCCATTGGATTGGACGACGAGAATCAGTTTGCTTTTGGGTGCTGCTCGTGGTCTAGCAAGAATCCATGGAGAATACAATGCTTCAAAGATCCCCCATGGAAATGTCAAGTCTTCTAACGTTCTTCTTGACAAAAATGGAGTTGCTTGCATTTCTGATTTTGGGTTGTCTCTCCTTCTCAATCCTGTCCACGCCATTGCTAGGTTGGGAGGGTACAAGGCTCCGGAACAGGACGAGACAAAACGACTCTCTCAAAAGGCAGATGTCTATAGCTTTGGAGTTTTGATGCTAGAAGTCTTGACCGGGCGTGCACCATCGCTTTACCCATCGCCTTTGCACTCACGAAACGACGAGCAAGAGCAGGCAGTAGATCTCCCCAATTGGGTTCGATCCATAGTGAAAGAAGAGTGGACGGCTGAGGTGTTTGATCCCGAGCTATTACGGTACAAGAACATTGAGGAGGAGCTTGTGTCGATGCTTCATGTTGGGTTGGTTTGCATTCTTCCTCAGCCTGAGAAGAGACCGACGATGGTGGAAGTGGCAAAGATGATCGAAGATATCAGGGTCGAGCAATCCCCGCTCGGAGAAGATTACGACGAATCACGTAATTCGCTTTCGCCTTCCCTTGCAACCACAGAAGATGGCATGGTGTAGCTAGAATTTTCAGGTGGATTGTTGATCAAGATGATATGCTTAGTTTAAATTAATGTTGTGTCTGCATTTTCTCATGCAAATTTATGGTATTTATTAGAATGTATCCTTTTGTGTTTATTGTAAAACTTTGATTAACGTATGTTTGCTCCAAGCAGCAGTGGGAAAGATTTGTTGATCTTCCCCTAACCTGTTATTAACCTAATTAATTTGGTTTTCTTACCATAAGTTTGGGATTGCAATCAAAATCATATATATTGGATTTTTTGTAATTCTTTTATAATCTATTTTAAGTCGGCACCAATCAGTGTGCCAACGAGAATACGAGCTTCAAAAGAGGTGGATTGGATTGTGAGATCCCACATTGATTGGAGAGGATGGATGAAACGAAACATTTAAACAAAACATTTTTTATAAGGGTGTAGAAACTTTTTTTTGGTAGATCCGTTTTAAAATCGTAAGGCTAACACGTAAGGCTAACACTGTTACGAGTCAAAACAGACAATATCCGTTAGAGTGATGGAGTGAGACATTTTCGCTCGTGAGAAACATCTTTGATTTTTTTTTTTTTTTTTTTTTTTTTTTTTTTTTTTTTTTTTTTTTTTTTTTTTTTTTTTTTTTTTTTTTTTTTTTTTTTT